GGGAAAGAGACAGCTGAGACATAAATTGGGTGCAGGGCTTGAAAGGGGTTCCCAACTAAACTAAGGGCTGCTACAGAATTACTATCTGACCAGTCCTTAACCTGGGGCTACTAATGTCTCATGGCATTATTTTCAGCTTAGTGTCAGGTAGGCAGAGCTCCTGCAAAATGGGATGGTGGATTTCATCCCCACCAGAGGAACTTTAAAACCCTCTGACCCTTTCTGAGACTTATTTTCCTCCTGAATGAACGACGGTACACGTGCTCGCAGCAAGCCCAGCATCGCAATACACCAGAAAGGGAAATAAACTGCACCTTCCCCTTAGGCCTTGGCAGGGGAACTCATCACCAGTTAAAAAGCAGTGAAGTCACCACTGCAGGATGCTGTTGCCTGTTTGAATGAACAAATAGCAAAATTTTATTTTAATTAGTATTAAAGATGTCACAAACTCTACATGTCTAGTTCTAATTTGAATTAGTGTCAGCCAGTGCAGTAAATACTGAGATTAATCTCAATTTTAAAGTTTGCTTGCAGAGAAGAAATACCTGTGGAGGGGGAAGAAATGTGAGCTATTGATCACAAAAAGCAACTTAGGCAGTTATTAATTCAGATAATGCAGTGTATCACTGTCTTGAATTTGCATTTGCAGGTTTTGCAGCTTTTCCCAGCCTTAGATTAGAATTTTAAAAACTTAAAGGCATTCATTGATGTGCTGTCATTTTAAACCTCTGGCATCACAGATTAATGATGTCATGTATTACAAGTACCTCTTCAGAGATGATTTTTTTTTTTTTGATGCACTTGTTTATTGCTACTGTAAAAAAAAAAAAAAGCCACCTCTAATTTGTGTTGTCATAGCTCAACCTTGCAACTGTGCTAAGGATAAACATTACATCTTGAAGAGCCAGACACTGCAGTTGCCATTTCAGAGTTTGAGCATAAACACTTTTCTTTTGGAGAAGAAAGGAGAGGCTTTGTGTGTGTGTGGATGCACATATATATGTTTATGTTCTAGTCTGGTTTTAAGCAAATAGTTTACATCAAAAAATAACTCATGGAGGACAGGAAATACTGTTGAAAATATTTCAGAAAAAGTGATATTTTTATGTTATGCTACTAGTAGGTCTTTGCTTATGAAGTCATTGCTGCCAAATGCTATACAAATATTCTAATTTTAAGGTTCATTTTTTGGGGAAAAAAAAACCAAACTTATTCTCACTAGTGTTTTGTGAAAAGGATTTTTTTTCTGTTTATTTGAATGAAAAATGCTGTATAATGCACCCCAATGAGTAATATAAAATAACCACAGTGATACATTTGAGTTTGCTGAATATCTTGTTGCAAACCAAATTTTAGTGATATCACATATTCCTGTGTTACTTTGCTTACATTTAAAAAAAATGTAAGTTTATTTACAGCAGAGAAAATACTTCATGTTTGCTTTTTGTGTAATGTACCAGCATGACCTGAGAAGATTTGCTTCCAGTAACAAAAAGATAAAAGTCTATTAGATGGAGAAACACACTGCTGAAGACATGAATGTATGAAAGAATTAAAGGCTGTCAATAAGGTTGTAAATTGCTGTTTTCAAGTTGCCCTAAGGTTTGCTGTGATAACAACATTAATAATCAAGAATAACAGAAACTTAAAAAAATAATTTAAGCCCAGTTTTAAATCTGAAATTGACTTTTAAATATCTACTTTTAATTTTAAATCTTTTTTTTTTTTCTGAGCAGAAATCTTTGCTAAGATAGGTGCTGATAACAAACATCATGAAGGGCCTGCTTCATGTCACTAATAGAAATTAACACTAGGAAATTATTTAGGACCCCAGGGTCCTAGGAAATGATTTAACATAAAATTTCTGTTCAGGATATTCTGATGTTTTAGTATTTTTTTTTTATTAAACGGAAATTTTGGCCAATTTTACAACCTTTATTCCCGCAGATAATTTTTATGTATGTGGGCTTGATTCTGCAAACAGTCTTGCAAGTTTACTAATTATGGGAGAACAGAATAAAAATAACACAGGCTTGCTCATGTAAGAAAACTTCTATATTGCCAGTCTTAACAATCATGTGCCAACATGATTGTTGGCACAACAAAAAAGAGCATGAAGATCTCTCATTTTTTAGGGTTCTTTTCATTTACTTTCTCGTTATTGAAACTACAAGGTCTAGTTGCTGTCAATCTTTCCCTGTAACTATCAGATGCAGAAATGGGAATTAAAAGAAGCCCCAAACCCACAACGTATTCTCTATATTCCAAGACGTTCAGGAGCTGCTAATAAACATAAAATATTGAGGGAGGTGGCTATTCTCAAAATTGCTCAAGTTACTCTTTGTAAGCTCAACTACCATTGATGGGCACTCAGGAAGGTCCTCCTGTGGTGGCAAGACTGACTGCTTGTTTCTTTGGAAAGAGGAGAGGAGGAGGCAGCTCCTTTTAAACAACAAATTACAAATACAAAAGGCAATGATGAAATTGTAAAGAAAAGGATGTACTTGGGGGGGGGGATGGGAAGCAGACAAGCCACTAGGCAGCATTCACTTCCATGCCATTTTGGTTTTTTAATGCAATAGAGCAGTTAGCCTAGCAAATGTTGCATCATTTGGTATGCAAAGCATTTGACGATGCAATGATAACTAAGGAAAGGGGACAAAAAACAAAAAAACAAAACCCACACCACACAGATTTACCAACACATTGTACCTAGCTTTGCCTTTTTTTTCTTTTTTTTTTCTTTTTTAAACAGTGTTTAAGAAAAATATGCTGTGTTACCATAACAAACTAAAATACTCTCTCAACCTCTTAGGAGTTTTGGTTTGGTGTTTTGTTTTGTTTTGTTTTTCCCCCTCCACTTCTTTTGGTTCCAGGTAGGTTTTATTGTTCTTGTTCTACTTTATAAAACCTTTTCTCAACATTAATGGCTTCAAGAAGAAGAAATAAGGGAGAATTATGAGCACAAAAGAGAGCTGGCGGTTGTTTGTGTTGTCACTTTCTCTTGTGCCACTTGTAGGTGGGTAAGGGTGCAGAAGAAATAGGGCATTATGTTTTATAGAATACAGTCAGACATGAATTCCAGCTGGCATTCACTAAAGCAAAAGGGAACATTTTCCTCATGTAAAATCATTGTTTGAATCCCAACCATACATAGCTATAGAATAATGGGAGTCACTTATTTTTCACTACTTCAGTAAGATACTGCAGCAAGCTAATGATTTTACAAGACAGACGGTTTAAAGCGTCACTTTGCTGCAAATTGCTCAATCCATAACTAATGAGCAGCTCTGCAGGTTTCCACTAAATCAATCCCATTAGAATTTACAGTTTGCATAAGATCGTATTACTCAGTGGACACAGAACTAATTTTTTGGTAACCTTCAGCAGCCCCTTGTTGCTGTTTTGTGTTTTTTTTTTTTTTAAACTCGCTGAAGTTTCTATGGGTGGGTTGTCTTGAGGGTTTGGCCAGCATGCCAAAAAAAAAAAAAATTAATTTACTGTCCACTTATACACAGGCACGCATGCATCCCATATCAAGTCCTAAATATTCCCTTGTGAAGACAGTTAACATCCAAGAAGGCAGGATGAGATGACAAATGGAATTCTGTCTCTGTCACCTGTAGCACTAAAACTCTGCCCCAATTTGAAGGTGGAGTATATTTTACACCTGTAAGAGTGTGAAGTCAAATGGCAACAGTTATTTGGACCCACACAAGTAATTCTTCATAACAAGCTAAAATCTCTCGTATGACAAAAATAGCAAAGGCAAAAACCTCTATGGATTGAGTGACAGGACTTGTGTCACTTATCTGCAGTATAGAAACAGAAAATTGAGAACTACACTTGTTAACGAATCAAGTTCTAGATTACTTATTACTGGTGATGCCAGTATGTTTGTACCATGTTTTCTCCAGGCTTTGTAAGAAAAGGGTCAGTTCTATCGTTATCAATCACTACAACAAGATCATTTTTAGGTAAAACAGTTATACGCAAGGAGAAGTTCAAATCCTGTCAATGAATTCATAGACTCTGAAAAAAACGTCGTATTGGTAGTTACAAAAGAGCAATGTGGCTGGAGGGCTGTTAGTATGGGAGTGTTGAATCATCCCACTCCAACTGCTCTTGCCTGGTGGCATTCTGTTTGTCTCCCTTTTGGACAATCACTTCCTCTTCCTCCTCCTCCTCCTCCTCCTCCTCCTCACTTTCGTCTGATTCAGGACTGGTAGTGTCATCTTCTTCATCTTCTATGTCATCATCTTCCTCCTCACTCTCCTCTTCTGTCTGGTGAGGCTTTTCGTATTTCTACAATACATTTAAAGAAATGAGAGCCAATAGAAGTACCTTTTTGCTAGCCAGTGGCTGTGAGAATGTGAGCATTTATTCCACATTTAGAAATGCTAACATGCTGGGAGAATGTGCTTGCCATCATTATGTGACTATTAGGCATCAAATATGACACAATTCAGTAGCAACTATTCAAAAACTACTAGAACAAAAATGGAATGTCAATAAGCGAGATCTTTGTCAAGCTGCCAAAATGTAACCCTTCAATGTTAGTTTGTTTAAACTGCCGATCATTTCCCCTCCTTTAGTGCATTAGCACTTACATTATAAAGTTAAAACCAAAGTAGCTATATCATCTTGGGTGCCAATGTGGACGGGAGAGGAAGTGGTGTTGTACCTAAGAATTCTTCACTATGCTAATGTCCTGGTTCTGTCATGGATAGAGTTAATTTCACAAGGAGCCAGAACCAGGACACTATTTAGTAATTATATATGACAACAAATAATAGATGCTCAATTATATATTATCATGGCGTACAGAGCTCAAAACTGAGGTGGGGTCCTGAGTGTACGTACATACAACTGTTCTGCCAGGCCTAAGCAAGGGTAGGCTGAAGGAGTGAGCTTAAAACTCACTGCTGAGTAAGCTTCCAGCCCAGACAGTAACTCCTGATAGTATCATGATATAACATTATGCCTCAGTTATGTACCTCCATGGGGTTGACGGTAATAGTCAGAGCAGAATCATCCCAATCCATTTCATTTTCTTTACTTCCTTCGTTGTCTGCAGAGCTGTGCTGATGAGCTGTCCGAATCCGATAGACCCCCAAGGTTATGATGAAAATGAGTATGCTCACACAGATTATGATAACGATAGTAGCCACACTTGGAATAACTGGAACAAAAGGTGGAAAAGGGAATGGGTTATGCCTGTGAAACAAATTGCGTACAAAACATAAAATACATAGTCTATTTTTTTCCCTTCAGCACCTCTTCCTTTGGATTAAGAATCAGCACAGCCATCTGCCTGCAACTACAGAAAGCGTTGACAAGTGCCCACCTACTAAGGCAGAGCTACATGAATAGCATTTACAGATATCTTATAATGAGTATTATAAATCATAACTAAAAAGTGAGTATGCCTACCATTTGTTCTTTAAGCCACTTTATTACAGAATACAAGTAGTCAATCAGTGCAGAATCAATTAGTTTCAAAACAAATGTTTTTTGCAATAAGGTTCAGTTATCTATCTTACCTGCATGTTGTCTCCTTCTGATTACAACTGAGGTGACAACCTCGCTTGTGAGGAAAAGTATAACTCAAAGCTTATATTTTCCAAGGTTTCAACCATGTGTACTGTGATTTCAATCTCAATCTCCAAGAAATAAAATAATACATTGCCACTCTATTTGCCTGTGTTACAACCTTTCTGGGAGACTCTTGAGGATACAAGGCTTTTTTCCTCACTCTTGCACTCTGAGAAGGCTCTGTCTCCACCTAGTCACAGGAAGAAAGCTCTCTGAACTACTCTTATGTTAACAGCTCCATAATTAGGTTAGTGGGGAAGTGCTGCCACTTCTTTGTACCTTTGCTACCTAGGTACTGCAGTTCCAGGAGCTATAGTAGTTCTGTACCCCATTTTATTGCCTTGCCCTGCCTGTAAGAGTGGAACTCTGAAATCAGAACAGTATTAAAGAAGAAAGAACCACTTTGTAATAGTTCATTTTGTAAAAATTCAGTTTCATTTTAGTAAAATGTCTGTACAAGTGTACAGAAAAATACAGTAATTTTCTAAGCATAACAGTATACAACTACTTGTAACAACTTACACTTTACAACTGCTTTACTTCCTTTTAGCTGAATGATAAATATGTAAAGATTTCAGAATCTAGCATTTAAACAGATATCTTTGTCCTGGGTTTAACTTCATTGAAAAGGCTCCAGACTTGGGTATATATTGTAACTCATATAGTCCAAACATTAAATTTAAATTCTATATTTAATATATACTAATGTCCCCTGCACATGGCTAGGTGGACCTATCTTTTCTCCAGAGAGCGTCAGACTGAGGCCTGGGCAGCAGCTAACAGAAGCAGTGTAGCAATTATGTATTTTTAAAAATAATACAAACATTTCTTCCTTTTGCTTAGAAAGGGGTGGACAGAAATTAATATGCCACAGAAATAGAGATGTACAAAGACAATATGAGCATAAATATTATCCTTCATACCATTCAATACTAGAAACAAGACATTTTCTTAACTATGTGGGTCAGAGTACATAACCTTTAATGAAGAGCTTAAAAAAGGATACCAGTTTCTAATTACAAAGTACCTCCTTGGAAAGAAAGAAGAAGATTCAATGTTACCTTCTTTTATATCTGTGCAACCACCTCTGTGAAGTTTCACAAGCTGTAACTGTGGACTTCAGGGCTTTATTTGTTGACCAGGCTGTGTCACGAGGGAAATATCAACATTTCAGAATCATTATAAGCAGTCTCTGTAAAGTCATCACATACCTGAGTTGTGAAGAGCACTTATGGTTCCTTCTGGGTGGTGGACAGATTGGAGAAATTGTGGTTGTACTATCATATGATTTACGTGGTCCATGAAGTTGGTGTTGGAGCTGTGTAGAATATTAACCTGACACAACAGAAAAATAAGAGACCAGATACTAAAAAGTGCTCTATATTCCAAGCCTGCTGGCTCCATACATTACACTGAACTATAAAGTTCATGAGCATATAGGAACATTATTATATAGATCTTAAAGTCCAAATTAACTTTTTTTTTATGGCAGTGAAAAATACACAGAATAATATATTTCTCATTTCTAGCATTAAAAATGCATTCTAACATCTCTAGCTGTAGACTATGAGGTGGTACAGAGAAGGAATTTTTTTGTTTTTATTAACCTGTCTGTATAAGTAAGTAGTGACTTTTTTTTCCTCTATACCAATCAGCTTGTAGGTATTCCCTGAAAGTTAGTGGGAGATTTGTCACTCTGAATATTGACAGAGAATGTATCAAACTCATTGAGATTAAAACCAAAACAGTAATTAAAAGAGGTTTCGGTTTTTCCTGTGTCCCTGCTTTCAGAGTGACTTTCTTTGAAGATACAATCAGTTCTCTGTCCTACTGATAGTTAAAAGCAAAAACCCTGAAGTCATCGTCAGGGTTGAGGTGCTAAGGCGAAAAGAATTTTCAGTGCAACAAAAACATGTAAAACCCTCTAGAACCAATTATTAAGTTTTGAGCCTTTTGCTAAGAAGGTCCTGCCCCTTTCCTGTAGTTGGTAGGTGGGGTCTAGGCTGGATAAATTGGTTCTTCAGAATAGCCCCAGAATTTCTGCTGAAGTGCATCAGCAGTAAGCCTCAGTCCCTGAGCTGTTGTGTAGCACTGGACTTAGTACCAGCACACAAAACCTCGAGAGAGCTATCTAAATATTCCTGTCCTGACCGACCATGTCTGTGTAGTGGATCCAGAGAATATGACAAGTGAAGTCCATCCTCTGCATTTGTTTCCTGTGTACTAACTTTCCTCCTCAAAGAAATCTGAAATCATGTAAATTACCAGGAATGCTCTCCATCTGAACAGATTATAAAAGAATAAAACTTATTGTAAGGGCTTAGTGCTTGGAAAAAACCAGAGGTGAATGCTGCAGGAAAGAAAAGTATGTCAGGTTAAGTTAAAAAAATAAGAAATCGAAGGAAAATAATGAGGCTCTAATGATTTACTTTCGAGCAAGTGTATAAATCTTCAAAAAGACCTGTAGGAAGGAGCTTTTACATCATAGAAAAACACTGCTGATGATCTTAGCCTCCATTCTCTTTGAACAGGAGTAATTCTCTGTGTTAGTGGAGTTCAAGAGAAGGGTCATCTCCTTACATATGCAGCAGAACAGACAAACTCACACTGAAGAATGTCCACAGGAAAAGTCAACTTCCTATTTGTAAAGAACTTAAATTTTTTCCTTTATCTGATTATAGTTACCAGAATGTGTCAATCATTTTACATATTTTAAAGAAAACTTGATGCTGCTGAAGAAAACTTGACTAAATGACTGCTTACCTCCAAGTTAAATTCATTGCTGGTGTAACGTCCATTTAGCTCTGAGCACTTGACTCTGAACTTCCTGTCAAAGGTGGCAGAAGTGTACCAGTTACGATAGCGAATCTGCCGAAGAACCTGTTCATAGTTGTGCATGCTGTCCACACCTGAAATAGTGGTAAAGCAGTAATAATCTCAAGGAGATGCTATGTAACAAATGCTCTGTGCAGTACAGGAGAAATCAATTGTTCACAGAAAATTTGGCTGAATGATCTGAAAATGGCAGTGCATCAAATATTCCCTGATAGAGCCCCTGGCTGATACTAAATTATGTGAGAACAGCTTTTGGAAATGAACGTAGGTCCATAATGGAGAGGAACAAATACAACAGCAAAGATTTAGAATAAATTATTTAGTAATTAAAAAAAAAAAAAAGGCCAAAGAGTTACCAATACTGTGCAGAAGAACTGAGGAATTCCCCTCATTCCCATGTTCCACTGTGATGGTCCACAAGAACCTCCACATTTATAGAAAGCAGTGTTGCTATTTTCCGTATTTGGAAGGATGCTGAGAGCAAGACAAAGCTGGGCTGTATGCCAAAGGATAAACACAGCACACCCAGAGATCAAGAAGTGACTATGCTTTTTGACACACAGTCTCTCCTGGAATATTTTATGGGTAGTACCTCACAGATTTTGCTCTAATTTCTTTCAAATTAGTCCTTTTAGTCCAATAATGTTGGTGGGAAAAAAAATACGAGAAATAAGTCCATGAACATACCATAGATTGAATATCCTGCTGTAGAATTTGTGGCATCTAGGTGTTTGCCTTGAAGCTCCACGTGATCTAGTTCCAAACATTCTTGCTCAGGCTCTAGTTCTGTGCCAATGACCAAGATGTCACAGAAATCCAAGTTGTGAAGCATTTCCTCTAAAACCACTGGCTTATTGGCTGTGAACACATGGCACATACCATGAAAAAAAAGAAGAAAGAAACTAAGATAAATAATCACAAAACAGCTCACTCATTTTATGTGCTTTGCATCAGGGCTTTCAATTTTTGCAAAGATGGTTGAATTGGGGTTTGGTTTTTTTTTTTTGGGGGGGGGCTTTGGTTTTGTTTTTTTTTGGTTGTTTTGTTTTTCCTGATATTAAATACAGCATACTTGAAGCAAATCAAAAGAGATGTGTCTTGCCTGTTCAGGTGCTTTGATGAAGAAGGCCTACAAATATCTAGTGACATAGAAGGAAAGGAAAGCGGATAGGAAAGAGGAGAGGAAGAGGGAGAGAAAATATATTGCTCTGTAATAAAAGGCATTCAAGAACACTACTGGGAATAGAAAACTGAAATTTGATCCTGGAAATAAATTCACGTAAACAATTATGGTTTTCAATATTGTATTCATACCAGGTTGGTATTACACATGCATGCTTTTCTTAAAGAAAACTGAACTGGAAAAAAATACATCAAATATATTTATGCTTGGATGATTCAGTTACTCTATGGCCCATAAAGAATTTGCCTTACAAAGAATGTGGTGCCAGTTAGCCAAGAACATGGTATTAGCATAAATGGCAAGATCCTGTGTCGTGTGACTTGGAAAAATTGAGTTGTAAACTGACTACCCTTCAGTACATATGATTAAAAAATTAATTTTGTTGCTGGAAAAAAGTAGCATATCAATTTAATAGTTTAATTCTCTGGTCAACTTAGCACAGAGTGTCTGGCAAGACTGCTTAACCAGCTCCTTGAGGGTACCATAGCCACAGAGCCTGCAAGCTGGGAACTTAGTGCCCATTTTGCAAATTTCATTGTACAGGGTGTGGGGAAGGCCGGCACAGGCAGAAAAGTCTTACGCCCTAGAGTCCCAAGTCCTGGTACAGTGAATTTCAGTATCTGAATGCTAGGTACAGCTCTAATTTATCAAAAAATGCAGGCCAAACTCAAATTTGCAGGATAGGCAAATCTGACTATTGCTAAAGTTGTTGAGTTGGACTGTTTCATGGGAAGTTATGAGGGACGGGCAAGAGCTGGGCTGCAGAGCAAGGGAAAAGCCTGAACTGGTCAGTTTTGCTGTCACTGGGCAAACAAGAGAGGTAGGGACAGGAATTTTAGCTATATTGGCAGTGTCCCACTGATTTCTCTACTGAGGCAGGAGAAGCGGCATCACACTGGCATTCCAGCAGCCCTCTGCAGGTGAATAAGGCCTGAGAGCCACAGCCGTGCTGCTGCCTGTACCAACTGCCTGATCTGCTTTTGGTGAGAGACAGACCCAACTGGTCTTGGGACTGGGGAACACACGGTGAGTCAATCAGCCCACTCACAATGATTAGGTTATGTAAAGTCCTAGTAAGTGGAAATATCTATAGGTAGATATAGGTCAAGATTTATGTCTATCTTTGCCTTTGTCAGATAATACCTGGGCTGAGAGAAATAATTATTCAAGCTTATACTGCAGGAATTGACACTTAGAATTTGATAATCTTTTGCAAAACACAATTATTCCCAAAGCCAATTATTATCTACCCATTTTAACTACTCTTAAAGGAAATAAACAAGAGATAGCACATTCCTGACTTTCAAGGAATTAAACAGTAGTTTAAGAAATGCTGCTATGTTCTTTTTCAAGGTGAGACTCACACTTTTTAGGTTACAAGGTGCTACAACAGTAATTATGTCAATAATTGTATTGGGAGAAATTGGGATAGATGAAATTTATGAACTAAACTGGAGGGCAGTAGTTCCTAATTCACTGAACAATTTTGAAGATGTCATAACATTTAGGAACAAAAAGCTTCATACATGCATTGTGTCTTAAGTAAGTGATGCATAACAATCACTCATTTTTCTATGCAAAAATTCATTTTTTGACATAGTGTAATTCTATGCAGTTGATATTATGATATGTTACACTTTCTAGCATTCAGAGGACAGATGCAGTTTCAGGCAAGTGATAAGCAGCATTATTACTGAGCATGGCTTCAGGGAATCCATACCCCTACACTTGCACATCATTAGCGATTTTATCTTTTCAAGAGATGTACCTCTAGTTGCTCCTGATTCTAGTCCAATAAATATTGTTTAGAATGATTCCTCAGTTTACTAGACATTTCATTTACCTTGCACATAAGCATTTAAAAGGAAGTTTTAAAGGAGTCCTTTATAGACAATTATTTTAAATCTTATTTATATTTTTGAACATTCACCTTATATTGAATAATAATACGCACATTTCTTAGCAATAGAATAAACTGTCATTGAAAAAATTCTTTCCAAATGATTATATTTACATTGCATAGGTGGGAAACTGAGTCACAAGACTACTTTCTTAAGTATCAGCCACAAGTCAGTAGCAGAGCCGGAACCATAAGAGCAGATTAAAACTCCATCTATTAGTCAATTACTGCTTTCCACTTTATCAGTACAATTAACAAAATTCTGTTACAAACTGAGAGATTCTAATGAAAATATGTTATTCAATGAAATACATAGAGAAGACTGGAAAGGAATTCTTCTGAAGTAGGCAAGACACTAAATGGAAAAGCTGCTTTTTTTGAAGCACATACTGATCTATCACTAGTCAACACATTTTTTTCAATACGTTTAATTGAATGTCTTCACTACAGCATTACTGTTGCCTCACATTGCCTAAATTAATCTGGGTGAAGAGACTTCCTTTGTGTTACTTGTTTGCACTATCTTTAAAAGAAAGTAAAAGTGAGGGGTCATGTTACAGAGGAAGTAATACTACTTAAAAGAAATCCACAAACCTCTGTCATGTTCTTTTAAGTCCACTGGATGCTCCACTTTAGTGACTGTGCTGACAATCCTGATGTCAGGTAACAAAATAACACCTCTTTCACTTTCAAATTGTGCAGCTGGTCTAGCAAAGTGGTCCATCCCACTTATTGTAATCCTGGGCTCATTGGCCTGAAACACCATTACATACGCATCTATATCTGGGATACTAATGCAGACATCTTCACCAAAACATCTGAAAAATATATTATTCATTAACTGCATGTAACACATTGCACATCAGAGGTGTGTGGTGCTTGTACTGCCCAAAACCTGCCTGATGGCTCTCATCCTTTTGTATTGTCTCAGATCAGTCTATTCCATACTGTGATGCTGCCACACATAGGGACAGGAATCTGTACCACCATGCACATGGGCCAGCAGTGACAGTAACAGCTCTGTTCCTCTTATCCCCTCCCACATTCACAACTACTGAAATTATGTAAGAACAGCTTAACAGATTCACGATGAGCTCAGTCTTTAGTAAGGTCACTATGCGAATAATATTTCGATGTTTAACTGACATTTAACAAAGTAGTGAATGGTTAAAAAAAAAAAAGTAAAGTTAATTAGATGATAACTAATTGTAGTAAACCTAACAATAGATTCAAAAAGCAGTATCTAATGAACATAATATGGTTATCTTGTCATGTGTGAATAAAAAGGTCTAATGATCCATTTAAATTGGACCCATCATGCACTCATTCTGGCACTCCTCAGTATTTACTGGCGACAAAAGGAGCCTATATGAGCATTTTCATCCGAATCGGCACTGTGCTTTGGAAGTGAATCTTGTGACAAACTCTACCTTACTGCATCTTGGCACAAGGCTTGGGCAAGCCTTGGAGTGTGCAAACTGGACCGCTTCCAGTGACACTGCCTCAGATGCTGCACTCCAAACACTTAGTGTGATCAGCCCACAGCACCAGACTAAACCTAGTACGCAGTACTAACTGCACTCGCAGTAGATGAGGGAGTGTGGAAATGATGTTTATTTTTCACTCTAAAGCTCTGCTTTTGCTGCACCACACCAACTTGCTGTAGCACAGACATAGCCCAGGGGAGCTCAGGAGTGGCAGACTGCTCTTTGATTATGTAGAACTGGAAACATTATTGTGCGGGTTCTGTCACTAGTGTTGCATGAAAATGGAAGGACACAGATTTCTGTTTAACACCCAACACCAGTCCTTCAGTGATGACAGCCATATAAGGATACAGACAAAGACTATTTCAAGCACAGCTACAAATACTGTTCTTGCAGATATGTCATCTGTTAGATGTAATAGGCCTGCTTTAAAAAGTCATGGCTCTGGCAATCTCAGAAGAAAGTGTAACTTTTTAAAACGAACAGTAAGATAAGAATGCAATAAATGCAAGTGCTGTTCAGTCCAGACTGTATGCACCAAACTATAAACAGAATGCAAGTAAATTACATTAACAAGAAAAGTTTCTTAAAAGGACAATATCAAAAGAAAACCACAAAGTAAATCAGCATAAAAGTTAATGAAATCCATCCTTTATGCTCAATAACATAAAAGTATGATTTAGCGATGTAATTTAGCCAAAATTATTCTTTTTACATGTCCAAAGAAAAAAGTAATTCATTAAAAATATTCCTAATCTAATCAGTTCAGCTGAAGTATAACTTACTGGACTTTAGATGAGATTTTGAGACGTCGTACGCCTGCAGTAGGAAACTGTCTAGAGTTGATGTATGAGACCTTTCGGAGAGCTTGATTTATATTCTCAATGTCATCTCCTTCCATGACAAGGACTGACTGGGAAGGGTTGAAGTGATACTAGGGGAAAATGCATATAATTAGTATTTAAGGTACCAGGTACAGGGTACAAAATAAGACATTTTTAAGGAATGTTGCACAGATGTAAGTTTAAAAATCTTCATAATGATTTAAGAAAAAAATATTCTTAGTAGCTATTGTTGGTTGCATCCACATGTTGTTCCCTAAAATATGTACTTGTATCAGTTATCTATTTCATATCTTAATAACTGGCGTTCCTCAGGGGTCGGTTTTAGGATTGGCACTGTTTAACATCTTTGTCAGCAACATGGTCAGTGGTATTGAGTGCACCCTCAGCAACCTTGCTGATGACACCAAGCTGTGTGGTGTGGTCGACACGCTGGAGGGAAGGGATGCCATCCAGAGGGACCATGACATGCTGGAGAGGTGGGCCTGTGTGAACAGCATGAAGTTCAACAAGGCCAAGTGCGAGGTCCTGCCTGTGGGTCGGTGCAATCCTAAGCACAAATACAGGCTGGGCGGTAGATTTAGATAAGGAGGAAATTCTTTACTGTGAGGGTGGTGAGGCACTGGCACAGGTTGCCCAGAGAAGCTGTGGATGTCCCCTTCCTGGCAGTGTTCAAGGCCAGGCTGGATGGGGCTTTGGGCAACCTGGTCTAGTGGAGGATGTCTCTGCCCATCTTTAAGGTCCCTTCTGACCCAGGGCATTCTATGATTCTATGATAACTACTGTTATAATTAATTTTATAGTAAACTAATCCCAATTTGCTGTACTTTGCCCAGCCTTATCAACCTTGCTGATATTATTTCTGCAGCTGTAGAGCTCAAAAACCTTAATTTACTGTCATCATTATTATTACTATGTAGGGTTTTTTTTAGGTTAAACACATCCCTTATATAAAAATATTGGTTTAAACCAGAGTAGCATGCAGAAGCATATTTTTCCTGCTTTCTGTTTGGTTTTACCCTGGGCTATCTTTCTGAGATATATTTCAACATGAATGAATGAAACAATTATAATACTTCCCTACTACATCTTCATTAACATCAGACACAATAAAGGGGTTTCTCCTGTCTCTGTCTCATGATCGATAAGGGTGTCATGATTTAAGAGGGAGCTGCTACTCACACCAAGCCAGCTGCTCATTTGAGCCAACAAACCTTGCAGTCAATGGCTATTCTTGTAGCCCTGATCTGTCTCTAGTCCATTGCATTGAACATGAAATAGTCTGCTGACCAAGAAAATTTGCTACTATATCCACACAGCAAATGAGTGACTTCATCTTCATCATAATTCATCCCGATTTCTTTTTTTTTGTCTGTTAATTGGTTCAGCAAACCATCTGCATTGCAGAGAAAGCCAGATTACCCCCTTGATTTTGTACCCTACTGTTGTCAGCACAAAACACAAAGACATGCACCCTTCACTCACATGCAATCCCTTCCCAAAGCTGGATATTGATTATATGAACATGTTCTATTATATACAGGCAATGGTTGTCTCCACTTCCTTACAATGAGAAAGGTTAAAAAGCAAAAGAGCGTATAGACTGTGAAGAACAGAATAAAGCATAGGGTTCTCTGTCAAACAGAACACGGAGGACTGGGTTTAAAGCTTGTGCAGGAAGGTCACAGAAACCTGAAGGGTATTTTTAACAACGAGGACGACTAACATGAACCAGAGGCTGCCTACACTTCTTTTTCCTTTCTGTAAGCTAACAGTAGTAGAGAATAAAATTAGCAAAAGGAGACTCTAGCTAGCTAGTTAACTTAATAGCTCATCTGCCAGAACAGCTGGAATGCTGCCAAAGGGAGTGGAGAAAGCCCCAGTATGAACCATTTCTGTCTTTCTCATTAAAAAAGGCTAAAAAAAGCAACAGTTTAGACAGTGTTTCTGAGAGCTGTTACAGGTATCTGAAAATTAGGCTGCAGATTAAAAAAAAGTCCTACACTGCTGTGTCAGAAATTGTATTACAGATGCATTGCTCTTTCTTAGGTGGCTGAAGGGTGAAGCCTCATGAGTCCAAAGTGAGCAGCAGAAACACCTTCCAACATCAGTTTGCCAGCGTTGAATCTGCTAAGCGCCATGTAAATAGCCATGCAGAACCTATCATCGGTGCAACTGTCGCACCTGCTTGTCTGAGATCAGGTATGTCTCTTTTTGACACCAGAAAACCTTCTGTTCAAGGTCAAGTGCCAACTGTTCCGCTTTCATCTGAGCTTCTTTCTGTCAGCCCCAATAAGAAACCCTACCACAATCTCTCTCTGACTGCTCCTTTCATTTTTGCCTCCTGCTGTTGCACTGACTGTTGAGCTGGCTGAGGAAGTAAAAATGAAAGCAGTCACTTTAAAAACATACTATGCTTAATCTGTATTTTGAAAATGAAAATGTTTTGAAGTTTGGTGAAAGAAAGAAAAGAAGGAAAACAATCCCTCATCTTCATTTTTCCCACTGCGCTGCTAGTATGGTAAGAAAGCCAATCACCCGTGCTGAAGCAGCAGTGAGCAGTATAACAGGAATTTTTTCAAGCCCATGAAACAACAGACTATGCAAGTATTGTCAGATTTCAGGGTGTGACAATAGAGAAGGAATTACTATGCTTTTAAGTGCCATGGACCAAGTGTACACTGCTTTAGTTCATGTAAAATCCCAGCAAAGAACTTACTGGTATACATAGACATATAGACATTTGCATTCCAGAAAACCCTACCTGCTCTTTGTATGCATTGTCTTTTAAAAATAGCTTTTACTCATAAGTGTATCATTTTTCTGGGAGAGGCAATAATGTGAAATTCCTAATGATGTCCTCGATATGATGAAGAAAAAACCCAGACTGTTGGGTTTTACTCTATTAAATGTTTGGGATGTTTTGCTCATATGTAAAAGCTAGAGCTAGCAAATTTCCTCTTTAACTTTGCACCTTCAATTTTCATTTTTACCCTTGTTTTCAGAAACATATTGGTTACACTACACCACTGTAACTTATCACCTAGACAGACTGACCTGTATTTCAGGTCAGTCTCCTATCTTGTACAATGAAAAAATTTAGGTAATAAAATGTAGTACATGGCACTTCCACTGCATGTGCTAGATCAAGTATTACAGCACTACCTCCTCCCCACTGAAAAACAACACACTGAAAAAAAACACCTGTGCAGTTTCACAGGATGCATAGTCTGCAGCCAAAGCATCTCCCAGTTTGAATTTGAAGCTCAACTCCTTCAGAAGATGGTATTGGCATTTGAATGCCAGGAAGTAGCTTAATAGTGTGTTGCCACACTAGGCAGAGAAAACCTGTCATCTAATAACAGTATCAATAAAGACAAATTGACAACGCATCTCATGTAAGCACTATAGAAGTTACAGTCAAGTTCCTACATATGTATCCAAAAGAATGGAATTTGTCTTAATGAATGCAAAGCAATCTGGCCACTATGTCAAATGAAACAGGGTTTCCCTCTGTCTGTTGTTCTCCAATCTTAGAAAAAGTGTTGCAATATCAGTATAGTCACATGCATAATAAAGATGGATAATGATTTATATGCAAAATGTAAATATGTAAAATTTTAATTTCTTAACTTTAGGGGTTTTTTATTGTCCAATTTTCATATCCCATAACATTTTCCTCTTGGAATAGGCTTTGAATTTCTCAATACTATTGCATTGGGACTTCTTTCAGAATTGCCTCTAGATGAAAGATATCCCGCTTATGTTTTCCATTGCTTTAAAGCTACTTGAGATCAAAATTCAATAATTCTTTGGAATTGTATCTATTTCTGTAAAACTACCAAAATAAGCATGAGAACACAACCTGGCAATTCACACGAACTCTGAAATATCAGCAGCACCTTACTTTCTGACCATCTAGCTTTACAATAATGGAAACATTTTTCTTTGTAGTGTCACAGCTCTTCTACTGTTCTGCTTTTTCTTTGCATGACTTTATGGGAAATTACATTGCTTCTGGGAGTACATTTGTACTGTGTGTACTCTACCTTGGGCTCTCCACTTCATAAATCAGCTCTAAATTTTTATCAAAGATGATGTCAGTTCATCCCTCACCTTTATTCCTTGGCCAAGACTCTCAAGAGAATTAATATCCAGACCTTCCTTGCAGGCTTGCAAACAGGAAATCACTTTCTGACTCTCAATTTTGCCTGGCCGGATAGTAAGACTGGCCAGGCTGCCATGGAAATACTGAGCAAATCTGGGCTTGGTGACTTCACCTCCTGCAAGAAAAAGAATATAAAATGATTACTGATACCAATACACAAACCACACATCTAATAATTCACTTTATGTTTTAACGCATTTAAAGAAGTGATACCCATTTTAGCCAAGTATTTTTGAGACCCCATTTATTGTGGAATTGCTTTGTGGGTTGTTAGGTGGTACCCAGTAGCAGCCTATCTTTAATATTCTTCTAAGTGTTTCTCCAGTATTCAGGTGTTTATAAAGCTGTGATAACATACTCTGAGATGAAACATGGTTTCCCAAATCTGTGTCCAAGGAAGCACAGCATTTTCAAAAATGAATTGATGAGATTATTAGAGTGATCAAACATGAATTTCAAAAAATGTGTAAGGTCCAATGTTTATTTATACACAAACCATATTTGCAAGTTTTCTTTACAAGATCACTTACACAGCCTCTGCCTTTCTCCTCCAAAAAACATACTACCTGAAGTTCTTAGATGTGCTAAGAATCATGGCTCTGTGTAAGCAAAATGCCACACTTTCTACAAACACTTGTCTCTAAGGATATGGTGTAAATTCACAGCAGTGACTGTGGGCCAATGCACAGCACCGTGCTAAAAGGCTCAGAGTGCTTCCCTCACCCAGAGCAGCTCATTTGGTGCCAGATCAGGTCTCGTCACTGTATGTTGCATCAGGCCCTCTGGCTACACTCCATTCGGTTTCACTCTAGGCAGCTTCAAAGGAAGACTGATCTTTAGGGGTTGTCAATAAAATGTGATTACATACTGCCTGCACCACTGATCCTAGCATCTAAATTACTCTTGGGATATTTAGTGATTTACTCATCTTCCTCTAGGAGAGTTTTTAGAGCTTGTCTTTCCTGCAAGTGTTAGCTATATCAGTGCATGTGAATTACAGCCTACCTTGAGCCTGAGAGGACTAAGAGCCACGCAACAGTGAAGCCATTCAGACTAATTGGATTAGCAGCTGATAAGCTGTTGTAATTGGTAGATAACTCATCTCTACAGTGTTTGCAGCTTTAGTATCAAACAACCTATTTCTGCCAGGCAAGCTAGCTCAAGCTTGAACTTTAACTTGAAGATTTGTGTGTGGATTTGGCCTAGGATAGGGATGAAGTGGCAAATTTTCTTTACGCTGATGTTGCTACCAAAAAGCCTGAAAAACATCACTTCTAGTCTGAGCAGTATGAGCACTATGAAGAAGACTTGAGGTATTTTATATAGTGAAGAAAATATACACGGGCGTACTGAGAGAAAAGGAGATGTCTAAGCAGGCTGTTTCTTCATAGAAGTAGACAGGTTTTGTACTTTTTTGTTAACATTGTAGCACAAACTGCCTCTCTTTTTACCCCAAAGAAAGATCCTCAAAGAGAGAGATTATTCTTCCCCACTCTTCCATTCAGTTGTCCATTATACAGAAAACTTCTTCAGGGCCAAATTTTTTTGAGGTTTCATAGAAACTTTCATGTATACAACAGCTAAAGTGCAGGATTAGTTTGTACTGTAGTTTCAGCCTTTCTGATACTTACCAAGACAATTATTTGGTAAATACATAGCGCATTGGGGGAACATTAGTTTTTCAGCAAAAATGTTGTTATATGTATTTATTTACATTGTCTTTGAAAGTACATGTTACCACTAACACAGTGGTAATGGATCTGAATAGAAAAAGGTAAGCTAAATTAAAAAAAATAAAAATGCAAACCTCTCCTTAAAAAGGAGACAAAGAGGAAAAAAAAAAAAAAAAACAAAACCAAAAACAGATGAGAACTTCCAGAAGAGGAAGGGAACCACATCGTGCTTTGAAACTTCAAATTCTCATATCCCTAACAGAATTCTGAAGACAGCAAGTTCCAAGGCTAAAACACCAACTCTAATCTTGGAGATTTGAAATTTAGAAACCTATGGTAAATCTGAGGAGATGCAAAATAAGAAGCAGTCTCGAATAAGCTAATGTATTTAAATATGAAACTAGCTCATGAAAATGTATAAAGGACTAGACAAGAAGCTAGAACAAAGGATTCAGTGCTGTGGCCATGCCTGACAGAAACAGGCAGGATAAGCCAGTTGAATAAAGCTATAGAGCAACATGACTGGTGCTTACATCCATGAATAGGAATTTCAGGTTTGGAATTTTTTTTTTTTTTTTAATTGGTTGTTCTTTCACTTTGGACTAGCTCTCGTCTGATGTCATTGACAAAGCATTCATTTGTGGCTCGAATATATTAGGTGCATTGCTGGAATGCATATCCAGTTTAGTTTCATCCAGAAGGAATCCAGTTCATGTGCTCTGACACTGCTCCACGGTGTGAACAACAGAGAAGTGGGGACAATCAGGAGGTTTTTGTTAGAAGTGGACTCCTGATCCAAACTGACATGCTAATATGGATGTTTGCTTTCAAACACAGCAGCTCCACACCTGGTTATCTTCTGCTGTACCAGACAGAACATCCAAACAAACTTGATAGAAATCCATGCCAGTACACAAGATGATCTACTGTCATCTTGCCAGAAGGTTAAGAACTGTAAATGTTAGCATTTGAGGTCCTCCCTGTATAACAATGATGTGATCTACTAGATCCTTTCAATTCATCGTAAGTGGGGTAGAAAAAAAAAGTAAAGACTCTTATCCTTGAATTACATCCACAAATTTCTTTTGTCCTTGTCATCTTCATTTCACAGTGCTGCTCATTTAGTGATTTGGATAAATTCCCCCGATTCTGTAATTCCAGTCCTTTAGCTAACATGGATGTCAGAACATGGGAGACGATAGTATATTAACCTAGAGTACAACGTGGATACAGAAGATCAGCTGTACTTGATCTACTCTTGAGAATTGCCTGAGCTGGTCTAAACTCTTCTGAAGACAGAGGCTCCCCAAGCAATCCACTCCAATGACCATTAATCCTTGGAGTTGGAAGTTAATTCTTAATAGGGAATGAGAGCTGTCAAAATATGGCCATGCCTTCCCTTTTCCTTTGCCAGGCTAACCAAGGCCCTTTCTTTACATCTTCTACCTAACACTGTAAACTATGATCATCCCTGTTGCCTTCCCTGGAATTTCTGCTATTCTTTGTACTAATCATAAGTTGGCATTCTTCTCAATGTTATAGGTGTTTTAAGTAGGACGTGCCTGTTAATCCAGGACAGTGTGAATACTAGCTTTTTCTACGTGAAAAAAAATGAGCCCTTAAAGAGAGAATACTATCTCACACTTTATTAGAAAAAATAGACTGCTAAATAAGCCTTCCATAAATAGCTTTTACCAGAGTTAAAGACAAAATTATATACCTGCCAATTTTATCCTCGAAGGTGGACAGAAGTCATTATATCTGACTCTTACCGCAGCTGTTTGTAATTGCAGCATGTTGACACTTTGATATTCCTCTACCTTAGCATTTCAGACTCTTCTCAGCTCAGTGGGGTACGCTAGCTTGCTGATGTGTTTCAGTTGCCAGTAATTATTAGATCGCAAATGGACAAAATCCAATGCAATAAAATTGGGAAGCAAACCCCAAAACTCTCACTAACATTGAAGGAATAGCCTAAAGCAAACCTACTACAACCCGGTATTCTAGCTTTGATAAAAGGGATTACTGGGAATATAGGTTTTCTATCTCAAAAAAATGTAAGAAGAAAAAATCGTCAGAATAAATAAAAAAAAACAAACCTCAGCAACTGGCTGTTTTACTCTTGTCTGTATCAGTGTTTTATTCATGTTTGGGTCTACTATATTAGTACATTTGAATGCTATCTTTCCTTCTGCTTCTGCAGTCAAATATTCTTCAAGTATTTGACCTAAGCTTCTCAGTGGGTGCAAATTTAGCCCAGGATGGCCAATCTCCAAGTCCTAGTCACTCTCAACTTCTTAGCTCCCAAGATTAGATGAATACAAATATATTTAATCCAGTATAAGATGGTAATTCTGTTGCATGTTAAAGCCAGTGGTAATTGTAGCTAATGCTGATAGTAACATTTTTGCAGAATATTATCCAAATTCTTTTAAATACTGAGCTTTTCAAATAGGAATCCCTTGACTCTGAGCATGATACATTTCATGCCTGTGCAGCTCCATGCACCGCTGATCGGCAGCTCAGAGCCACTGACTTCCCTGGGCAGGAGGAATTCTCGGTACCATTGTCTGAATTTGGCTCACCACTGAAATTACCACACGCTAAGAAACAACTGGGGAACAGGCATAAGCTAGTCCCAACAGTGCTTACTGCTTCAACACTTTGAACCTAACTCTTGGTTCTGACACCAAACTGAGCCTAAGCAACAATATTTTTGAAATAATGAAGACAACCTAAACAGATTAGCTTCTGGAGCAACATTTCAGAGAACAAAGTGGTACTCCAGTGACGATGATCTTGAGGTAATCCAAGTGTCCTAATTTTTTTTTCTATTTCCCAATCTCATGGTGCAGTGCCAAATAAAGTGTTCTGTAACACAGCATCTGCCAGTTTCTATCAGAGGTCAGGCCATCCAGTTAACCTAGATTGTCTCAGCAAGTTTCATGAGATTTTTTTTTTACTGTCAGGGTCTTTTTGTCCTTTCCTTCCTGTCAGTCAGGGAGTTAGGTTGCTGTCTGCAACACAAAAAAGACTGAAACCACACTATAGAACAACATCACCTATTCTCATTGCAGACCCTTGCATGACAAATTTTTGAAGCTACTGTTTTTTTCCCCCTTCCTTACATGTAAATGTTGCAGTCAGCATGATGGTTGTGAGGCAACACAGGCCTCAGTGTTGTTCAGACTTCGATGATAAAATTGTGCATTGCTTTTTCCACCTGACCCAGCACACACATCTGCTCCCAAAGCCTAGCAGATACAGGCAATTAGATGTTGGCTTTTTGGCATTAATTCAATCCTCATAACGGGAAGATGGTGTTAAGAGACTGTGGGAGGCATCCAGAGGAACTGTCGACATATGTAATTATTCACTGTAATGTTCACTGCTTAGTCACTGTCAAGGTAGTATGCAGCACATTTTTCACTTGCTAAAATAA